TCTAATAAATTGGCAATGCTTATTATGACATCCAAAGTTTCTTGGCTAAACCTAATATTAATACCATTAAATCATAATATGTTCTATTGTTGTATTATATACCTCATTTCATATCCTCATTTCTTATGAAATATTGTGTATTAGAATAACTATTAACTGTACTTAAAACTTTTCTTTACTGATGAAATCACAATTTGATTATCTTTACATAATTTTTAAATTTTTATAAATATTACCAAACAAAGATTCGATATTTCTCATTTAGTTTCAAGTGACTTCTCAAGATTTCTTTAATGGCTCAATTAATTGTATTGTAGTTAATAAATGAATATCTGATGTTTATAAAAATACACTTTTAATATTGAACATTATACAGGGAATAAGTATTTCTAATGCAAATACAAATTCTAAAATTTTTATTTTGATAATTATACCTAAACATTTAGCACGAATCAGTTTTAATGTAATAAAAAGTAACAAAGACTTAAACATATACTCGTGTCTCGTAGGTATAAGTTATTTAAGTTAACATAAAACTAAAACTTTAAACAAGTACATTGTAGACAAGTTTGTCAGTTGCCACACACCGGTATTAATATTTTTATTTAAGCTTATCTTATTATATCGTAACCGCGGGTATTGCCACAGCCGTTTATTTTATTTGTAAAATTTTTATCAGTTATCACTGATTGAACATTTTAAATTATAATAAGTGTTCGAACTCGGTATCTTTTTAATTGCCCGCCGGTTCAGAAAAACGTACATCTTCCCTCCCGCCGCCACAAAACTCCGCTATCGTCTCATAATTATTTCATGTGCGATATAATCGTCGCGAGACAGATATGGATCCGGCTGGTTTTGCCCGTCGACCTTTTTAATATAATATACGTGGTCAATTTCTTTTTGCAACCACCGGACGGTACATATCTGGGTGTGTTGCCCGTCGCCCTCACGCGTGTTGCGACGTAAAACTTTTTTTTTGGAAGGCAACCTAGTTGGTTGTTCCTCCACATTGTTTTTTTTATATAATTTTGTGCGTGTCGCCGTATGCCGCCGCTATAAACCTTGGTGGTTATTTTGGTCGTACTATATACGTGCGGATTCCATCGTTTTTGGACCAGTATCATCCGTCAGTGGACTGACAATCATCTTTTCATATCCGGAGGGAAGTGCAGAAGTTACCAGGTCGTCCTTTTGGTTGTTTATATTTCTTATATTTTATTATTATTCTGTATCACGCTACGTGAACCTGATTATATACTCTCTCCAATTTTTATTTTATATGTATATATATGTTACGATATTTTCAGTAACTTGTTTTGGGCGCCCTTTTTTTATTTAATCAATTCTTATATTAATCATTGTGGTGAAATATATGTTTTTTTTATTACATTGTATTTCTATAATTGTATATATTATACTGCTTAGAGTAACTCTTTTTATCCTCAGCACACCGCGAGTCGTGGCAGCAAACGGCTCGGAATTGCACGTGCTGTCCCGGCGACAACAATAAGACGTATACCACTGAATAATGGCTTATCGACAGAATAACTCAATTATCCACTCTCAGTAACGTTGGTAAAAATACGAGTAATTAGGTAATGATAAAGACGTGGATCTTTTAGTCCATATCACAGATTCGAGGTAAATTGTAATCGTATTTATTTCAGTCACTAACTCTCGAATACAATCGCCTAACTAATGACTGCTTAAATAAATTTAATAATATCAGTTTATTAAATTTATTAAATTCAGCCCGTGTGGGGTAGAAGGCAGGAGCAGCTGCTCACACTAACCATCACGTACGCAAGCTTATGTGATGACGAATTACACTTGAAATATATGCTAAACATGGAGCTGAGCTAGTTCCATGTTTTTTTTTGTTTTTTTTTTTTTTAATGTATGTTTTTACCTATTTTAAATCTGTTTTGTTATTAAGTTTGAATCGTTTCTCACTTTCAGGTATCTGACGTTCTTTACTCGTTTTTCACACATACAGCGAGCCCGACTATTTTTTCCCCTAGGAGAATTAATATTTAAACTGGGAACGAAACACGTTAGATAAATAGTAAGTTTAACCTTTCGTCAAGCAATCTTTGATAATATATTACGCTCCTACAGGGTTAAACTATTATTACTATTCTTTTTGAAACGAATGCCGAGAAATAATATTTAAAAGTGGCTGCGGCACTTATATAATCATATCTAGAGCAGAAATTATTTTAATTATGTTTACTTAAAACACAATTTCTATGGTAAATCGCAGCAATTATAATTATCATGATTTATTTTTCGTGACCTCGCAATTAAGCGGGCGTACACTTTTATTATTAAATTTGCCGAGTCGAAAACAAATCCGAAAAACAGCAGCGGTGGTTGCTGCACCCCCAAATGTTTTATGTGTCGATGTTGTGCGCCGCCGTTAAAACGCCGAAATGTCGTTTCGCGTGTTCGTAGTGTTATTATTGTCATTAATATTTAATAACTCGGTTAACATCCGCAAAGAAAATCATATAATAATAGTAACAACGACGATGATAGAAACGTCTGATATAATAATAATAATAATATACGTGCACGCCGTGTACGAATGTCAATTTCATTTGCATTGTTCGCGTGCTCGATGAACATGAAATGCTGGCGATATTATTCTTGGAAGGTTGGCTTACCATCGGAAAGTTTTCTCAGAAAAGCAGTATTACAATATTATGTCTATTAGTTAATTAATCGGTATTATTATGGTAACCGCGAAAAGCTCATTGACGTTTTGTCAACCAGCGGCGGCGGCAACATAGTTACTTTGATTGTTTTACAAAGCACGAGCTCCGACGTATAATTTCGAGAACATAGTTTATAATTATTTGCACACATGCATGGTGTTACTACACGTAATAATAACATACTCGCTTTACACACTCGCCCACCCGCCCACCTGCCCACACACACGAGCATTTCGTGCGCGTGCATCGTATATCGAGAGTTTGTTCAAAGGGTAGCTCTTTTTCTTTTCGATTTACCGTGATATATTTATGAATACGACACAGACAGCAACTGTTAGATAATACGATTCCCGGTTTACCCGATCGAATGTATAAAACAGTATTATTTTTCGATCAAGAAGACGTTCAGAAATGCGGTTGGTTCTATGTATAAAATATGTATGCACGTGTATGTCGATTAACGCAGAATTTATGGCGAAAACACCGAGAATACATCCTTGGACTTATATTAGGTGTATTTAATTATGTTGGATGTAAATAATGATTTTTTTTCGTTCTTAAATTAATGTTTTTTTTTGTAGAAGTGCTTGTAAATAATGTGCAAATATGAAATACAACCGAGAAGTAGGTACTAAGTTCTAGAAGTACTAATCTATATTTTTAAGCGTATAATATATTATACAATATTGAAATTATTTTTATAAGTTACACCTTAGCAATGAGAACGGGGTGTATTTCATTTTTATTCCCGACTGTTAATGTGGCTCTGCAATACGTTTATCCTTGCAAATGATCTATTAAAAAGAAAATATCGAAAGTCGTGAGATAGACGAGTTCAAAAAATGATTTCCGTCAATATACACTCTAGGAACATGATAGTGATTACATGATCAACTGATATATTGAGAATAATTATTGTGATAAGCATTTCCTATAAAATAAGAAAAACAACTCTAGACTTAAGTGAATTTGAGGGGTAGCTTTTATATTTATTCGGACTTAACTACTTTATTTTAAATGACTTGACCCGTCTTATAATTATATTACAACAGATGCTAATACACATTATAATGATACTACATCTATGTAGCTATTTAACTATTTAGGTATATACCTAAATTATAACACATTTTACATAATATTATAGCTTAAATATTGATATTTTTGTTAGTTTAACTTTAATGCACTTTTTTCTAGGGTGGATACAATGAGTGGGCTATATGTGTGCTGAATCTGGGAAGGCTTTTTATTACCATCTCAGAAATAGATACTGTTCTATCGTTTATTAGTTGATCTATAGTAACGCTAACCTAATTATTTTGTCTATAAAACTATAATGGTTGTTGATAATTTGGTATATTTATCGCTTATTATTAGAGTTTAAATGTTGTATCGATTTATAAGGTTCTAAACTTATCAATTAAAATAAAGTACAATTATTAAAATATTCTAGAAAAAGTATTTAAAGTTATTATAAAAAGCCCCGATGTCTAATTCTTTTAAATTATATTATAAAATAGAACTTCAAATGCCTATTAAAAAAAATTGTGCGTATGTACCTCAAATAGTCAAATCAGGTATAATAATTTATAAACATATCATATTAAATTTTTATGTTTATTTATCTAAGAAAATTGTATCTAAAAAAAATATTTTTTCGGCAATAATCGAAAAAAATTAAAGATAATTGAAAATTTCTCAATTCAAAATATAGTGTCAATGTATTCAAAATATTTCATCATGTATAGAAAATAATCATATTAAAATTTATTTTTTTAAAAAATGCAAGTATCTACAGTCATACATTTATGAATTACAACAAAATATGAAAAGTAGTTTGAAGAGAAATGATTATCATATAAATGAATATTTAATGTCGTAAACATTTAACTTAAAATTCTCATAAATAATTAATGTAACTTATCAGTATTTTTTTGTATATATATAATGAGTAAAATACTATTGAGAAAGTTTGAATTAAAATTTAAAATTTGAGTTAACAAAAAAAATTTTTTTTTATAAATTTCTAACTGTAAAATAGTTTAAAAACGTTCAAGATTTTACGAATTTTGTCAAAATTTTAACTTAAATTGCTTATAATAAAATATTGTGATTATTAATTTACGTGTTTTATTTTTAAATTTATAACTAAACAAATTATGAGGAATACTTTATTTAAATTTTGAGTATTAAATATTTTGTGACAATTTTAAGTGTACACATCAATTTTTTTTGAAGTTAAATATTGAAATATTATTAATTGTTTTTATTTGGTTTCAGGTGGAAAGAGAGATTGCAATAATGAAACTCATTGATCACCCGCATGTGTTGGGCTTGTCTGACGTCTACGAAAACAAACGATACTTGTGAGTCGAGTGGTTAAAATATTTTAATCGTTTACATGAATTTAATTTCATTCGTGTTCGATTAAAGTTAATCCTATATTTTATAGTTATTATATAATATAAATAGTACTATTATATTTATTTGCTTTGAATAAGTTATCTTATCTCCAATATATATTATTTGAGGGAAGAAATATGAACTCTAGTAATATGATATCCTATTCTGAACACTACGTAAATAATATTAATAAATACTTATACAGTTATAGTTATTCATATATATATATATATATATACAATATACATATTTATTTATTTATTCAAAATGATTGATATAACTGTATACAAAATAGCGTTATAAAACCAGAAAATTCAATGTGAAATTCTTATCATAACCCTTAATCATTGACGTACCAAATACATCATCATTATACGATGTTCTATGGTAAAAAACGAGTATCTCGTTTTTTATTTATTTTTTTATTTTTGTGGTATTTTATAAGCAATATCTAACAGCAACAATATAAATAGTACTATATGATTAAGTTACTCTATTTTATTCTGTATTTAAAGCCTTAACCTATTGTTTTAAGGCTTAAATTTGGAATGCTGCTTTTAACATTGTTATTAAAATTTATTATACCTGAAAGAGATTCAATCTCAGATACTTTTTAACAAAAGTTATTATAAATGTTTATAATTTGAATAGCTGGAAAAATAAATACAAATAAAATCAATATCAAGGTTTTAGCAATAAATAAAATACAAGAATTATAATACTCATTTGACTTCCAATCCGAGTTAAAATATCTTATTATATTATTACTGAGAAATCGCATACAAAATTCTACTATAAAATAATGGAACTTATCTTCTCACTGAAAACCATAATGTTAATGCCACAGTAGTGTTTTGCATATTGTTATTGTCAAGGACTTAACGGCGAAATAAGAATTAATTTATGATGATAATATTTTTATTTCCATAATTACAAATATTCAATATTTATATACTCGTATTATTAAATAATAATTAAAATATTTCAACTCATTTTTTATATAATTTTAAATACATTTAAAACTTACTATTTTTTATTATTAAACTATAGAATATAGATAAACTTTCTCATTTAACAAAATAATTATATATTTTAATTGAAATTTTAATATTATAATTATCATACACTATTGTCTTTCTTAATGTATAGAAATCTGGAGATCTATCATACTTTAATAAGGACGATGAGTTTTCAATGAAATTTCTACTAAAATAATACTATTTTGAAATATGAAGTTTTTAAATGTAAAAACAAAAACAAATTTATTAAATTTGGTCCAATGAATAAACACGATTTTACATTTATTTTCGTCATGTCTGTTTATATGTATATGCGTCAATATTAATTAATTATTTAAAAATACAATTACTATTAAGTACAAAGTATTTGAAAACAAATGTGATAGGTTGTATATACATACAGCTGTTCATTTTAATGGTTTTTGATTTTGGAACTAATGCAGTTTATTGATAAAGTAAATAATGACATTCAATATCGTTTGAAAACCGAAACCAATGTACATTAATATTTGTCCGATGAATAAAATAACGCAAATATAAGGTATATGAAAAAAGTAAACATAAGTATACAATTTCAACATTATTGTTAAGTAAAACGCACGTAGGTGCGGTACAATTTGTTATGTAGGTACCTACTATTATAGGTATTAGATGCCCATATGATATCTTTGTAACTTTTATAATTTATTTATCCACCAAAATCATGATGGTTTATAAAGTTATAGGTGTTTGTTAACGATTGCATTATTAAATATTTAATGAGCAACAGAATTTTATTAAAGTAGTTTAAAAAAAATAAAACATAGGTAAACGATGTTCCATTTACAATGATTCAAATACTAGGTAAAAATATCCAATAATAATTTTAATTGCTATAAAAAATCTACAGGCAAAATAACGCGAGCTAGCCGAATAATATAATCTCTGACACAACATTTTCATTAAGAAGTATAAATTGTCAAATTACAAGTTTTATTTATAAACAAATCCACAAAAAAACTTAATGTCTATGTGTATCTAGAAATAATATTCGATAAATCTAGTCTCTACAAATAGTTATACACGAAGACAGAATTACTATAAATAACAGAAAACATGCATTCCAAACTAAATACGAGTACTTACAAACCTCTTTCCAAGCCCATATATTTATAAGGTATCCAAAAATGGAGTTCTGCTGAAAAATCCAAATATTTCAGTCAAAAACCTTTCGGCTAATCCAACATCACATATTAACGTAAATCGCAAATTAAACTATCCATTCAGATTTAGAAAACTCAGCATTTAATAACTCCTAAACATCTAAAATTTGCATTTAGGGATCTTAATTGAAAAACTATAATGAATAAGGCAATTATTATGTTATTCATTATTTTAAGATAAAACAGTGCAACGATTTGTTATTACAGTATAATTGCATTGATAAAAGTGTAAGTCACTTCTTTCTTAAGACTAGATATAAAAATTAACAACAAACAAAAAATATTTTCATTTGACGAAAAAAAAATGTACTAATCGTCTCTTTAAATTTAAATTTAAAAAAATATAATATTGGTACATTGGAGAGGTAATATTTTATTGATTCTCTCAATGGTCTCGATTCAAGCGCAAAAAAAAAAAATACCGAAAGGTTGAAAAACAGTTTAGAGTTTATACTAAATCTTATGAAATGCCCGTATTTAATAAGAAATCAATTGTAGTTTAAGAATAATAACAATCAAGACATAAAATGTTCAACAAATTTCAATTTTAGTGGATATCATTTAATATATATATATACAGAAATATTAGTTTGTACTTTGTGGAATTACAATAATGGAGATTTTATAATGTGATACTTTATTTTTATACAATTCAAAATGTATTTTATTTCTCAAGAGCTGAAAATTAAATAAAAATTGCCTTTAGGAAATTTAGGTAATCTTTTAAAATTCAAAAATCAAATAATATTGCTATATAACTCAACAGTTCAACATGAAATTAATCGCATACATAATATTTTGTTTTTAATTAAATACTTTTCCAATATAATATTAAATTATTTTTATTTTATTTTTAACTACATTCATTTGACGATGTTCTTTGTTAATTTTAAGTAACATTAAATTAAATTGTAGTTTAGTTAAATGCCACTTATACACCTTTAATTAAAGCACGATAAAATTTAAACAGAATTCTTAATGACCTAGTAATAACCGACCGCCGTTGAAAATATTTTTTTATAATAAATCTTATAACTGATGATATAATTTTCGAATGCCGTAATATTTAAAATAAATTTATGTTACGTTAAATGAGCAAAATTAAACTTATGGTCAACATTTAGCCAATAAATCTTGCAGTTTAACTCCAAGCATTACGTCATGGCTTATAATGTATCAATGACACGATTTATATGTATATACACTAAATTTCGTTATTTATTCTCAGAAATGATTATGTTTTTGACTGCAGTATAACAAAAGCCTGATATGTTAATAACAGTAGTTTTAATTTTAATATTATATAATAGTTATATACTTACGATTTCAGATACTTAATACTGGAACATGTGTCCGGTGGCGAACTGTTTGATTACTTAGTTAAAAAGGGGAGACTGACGCCCAAAGAAGCTAGAAGATTTTTTCGACAAATTATATCTGCGTTGGATTTTTGTCACAGTCATTTAATATGGTAAGCATACGTTTCATATATTAGTGTGTCATAGTAAATTTATTTGATTGTTATATTTTATGTCTAAACTATAATTATTTAGTACTAGAATTTATTGAAATATTTTTTAATGCAATAAATGTAAATAAGTCATATATTATATTTACTATAATTTTTTATTGTTGAAAAGCTGTATTTAATTAAAATCGAAATATTTGATATTAAAATATATTAGGTACCATTAGTTCAAAACGTTAGCAATGATATATTTTATATTTCATGACAAGACATATACATTAAGAATAATTCAATCTATTATAAATCCAAAACTATAAGTCAAAGACTTTAATAAAAAATGTCATTGCCATTGAGAAAGAGAATGTACGTATTTATTTCCTTTGACCATTATTACTATTGGGTTATTGGATATTAATATACCTACCTAAAAAAGTGGTGAATAGAAATAACTTAAAATATTTATAAAAAAAAATTCAAAACTGTATTTAAATAAATTGAGTTTATAAAATTGTAAACATTTTTTTTATAATTTTCATGTATACATTTTTAAATACTGAGAAAAATAAAAACGAACATAATGTGATAACGAATATATAATAAAATATCTATTTAACTTTGACTTTTTTTAATTCGAAATATAATAATAATTGTAATAATTACACATATGTTCATACACATATTTTAATCTTATGGTTTTTTATCAATACAAAGTAGAGTTATATATTATTATTAACAAGTTTAAGTTAATACGGTTTTAATTGATTATAATATGGCTGTTGCTACATAAAAAAATTACTTTTATGATCGTTAGGATTTTACATGCCCATAAAATAAATATTTGTCACATCGAATATATTTTTTATATTTATGTATTAGTTATGTAATGTAGATAATAAAAAAACATATAAGAATTATTAGAAAAAAAAATGTTTTTGTTTTTAAGTCACGTGCTAGGGTTAAAGGGTTATAACGGTAGTTACTACCGATTAATTTTCGGTGCACATCATGCAAATTATACAACTTGTCAGCCATACAAACATTTTAAAATCTTTCAAAAAAATTAGAATTACTCTTAGGTTATGTTAAATAAGTTTTTAAAACATTTCCACCAACGTTTAAAGAAACTAACAAAGTTTGTTTCCGAACATACATAATTCAAGGAAAAATAAATTGTAGGTATAAGCAACTTGCAAAGACCCACATTAAAAATCATCTCCATTTATTTATAATATTTAATCTCAACCTGTTTCAGACTTAAATTATGTAATAAGTATACTAATTTACACCATATAAAAAATTTTAAATTCGCTTTTTACTAAGACATTAAATATTTCTGCATATTTCTTATCCATAATCACATGCAAATTCTCCAGTTTACGAGTACACAGTTTATTACCATTCATTAATTTTAAAATTTTACCACCAAATCCTTACTTTTAATTAGCTATACATAATTATATATAATATTATTATGTATTACAGCTATAATTGTAATATTGTAATAATTTTTCAAGTTGTAGTACTATTGGAAAAAAATTCATTAAAAATAGATAGTAGTAAACAAATCAAAAAAAAATCACATAAAATATTTTAGTTAGATTAATTCAACTGACGCATTTAATCGTAAAACTGTATATGTCATTACTCATTACGGTATAAAACACAATAATTGTTTGAATATTAACCGCTTGAAGTATTATAATGCACGAATTTAGCGAACTATTTTCAATTAAATTCATAGACTACATTTTTTGAGCAGCTTCTATAATGTATAAAATAGGTCAGTTTGTGGGCGCCAAATGATTATTTATAATAACATAGAGTAACGTATTATAAGTGAGATGTGATGATAAAGGACATGACCAAGAGTAATTTAACATCTCGTAATAATCGATTTGTAACAAAATATTAGTGCAGACACTATACGAGTAGGTTTTAGCGAATATTAAACTGCATGGTGTATCATTAATAAGGATGGGTTCATTTTAATAACTAACTATACCTGTGGCACTAGATAGTTTGACATCCAGTCTAAAAAATGAATAGCGACTTTATATTATCATAATGAACAGTTTAGAAATAATGATGACGTTGATGCCTATGTTTTTTATTTAGATTAAAACGAATCCAACATTCGGTTTCAAATTTGAATAGGAAGATACAATTGACTTTTTGATAAATATGAATGCAGAAATTGTCTCAAAAGAGGATTATCATTTATAAAAACCTAGGATTATATAATAATAATTATTATTTTTATTTATTTTTTATTGATTATAATATATTTAAGCTATAACGATAATTTTTTATTTTTATACAGTTACTATGAGTTATATTTTTCTTAACTTGGTTTTTTATATGACATAAATAAGTTAGATTTTTTTTAAGGGAAACTAATAGGTAATGGTTAGTTTTTGTCTTAGGACTTCATCTAAAGAATTGAATTGAATTTATTTTACTCCTAGTTTTTCTGAATATTTCTTATTTAATATCTTAGTATCTTACTTTAAATACGTTATTGTTTGTGAAAATATAAACAACAATTTTGTGTTAGGATTTGATTTAACTTTGAAGTAATTGATATTTTAATTTAATTAATTTTGAAAATACTCTGTTTTACAGTTAAAAATTGGTACTAAAGGTGACGTGAATGAGCTTACACAAACTCTATTTTAATCACATTTGAATTGTTTTCGTTTTAAGCCTTATATTTACGTAGTCTAACCAAAGAAAAAAATTTGTATATTATCCATTCCAATTACTACAAAATTAATTTATCAATATATATCGAAATAGGTATATTTTTTATACATCCAGTCACCATAATTTTACTTCATATTCCATTTTTGTACAATTGAATAAACATTTTTAAGTTAAATTTTACAATAAGTAATATATTATTAAGATGAAATAATATTCATTGTATTGATGATATTTTATAAGGAATTAAAGAATATTTAGTTAGGGTGTTTTTTATGTATATATAATATAAATCATAAATATTTTTGCTGTTTGGTTCTTTAAAGTTGATAGATTACTGAGAACTTAATACCTAACATTATGAATATTTTGTTTTTAAATAGTCCCATAATAATTTTATTAGGTTTCAATTTTTTTAAGAAAAAAAGCTATGATGAATTGAACCGTTTATTAATCTACATTACTGTATCAATATTTTTAATTTATAATCATGGTCTAAGTATAATACATACTAGATCCACTGTTAAATCTATTTTTAAGTTTTATATAACCTATTTTAAGTTAGTTCAAAAACTAATAGCTCAAATGTTAATTTTGATATATTACAATTTCCAGAAAATGATCTACTATACTAATTAACAGCAAAAAAAAAAAAATGGTATTTCTTTGAAGAATAGAAATTTGTTAACCAAAATTAATTAAGATCTTTTACTACTTTAAAAAAAGCCTGCTTAAGTAGAAAAGTAGATCAAAAAAATACAAAAATTTAAAAATATAATCTTTGAGTATATTTAAAAATTTAAAAATCCAAAATTCGGATAAATTAAATGGAAACATTTTGGGAGGGATGAACATATTTGGTGAATTATAATTTTTAGATATTGTTTAACATACATTCTTTTTTTTTATTTTTAAAACTTGTAATAATATCATACATATTTTATATTTTACTTAAAACATTTGCAGTATAAAAATAGAAACTTTTTAGTATTATTATAGTATTACGAGGTTATTCTTTTACATAAATAAACAAATATGTATAAGAACGCTGTTTTCTAAGCATGTAATCATTTTATATACTTATTTTTTTTTTACATTTTCAAAATTTTTTGAATTTTTAGAAAATTTTACTCATAATTTAATAAATTGAGCAGAAAGCTTGAAAATATAAAGTAAGAATACCTTTAATAAATTATTAAAACACAGTTGTTGATATAATTATAAATGCAAAATATTATAATATTACATATGTCAATAAAGTTTTAAGTTGTATTAGAATTTTATAGTGGTAAGAAAATTTAAAAAGTTAAAATTAATTGATTGTTTTAATTTTTTATACACTGTTCAGATTAAAATCTACAATAAAATATAGAATGTTTTAGTATTTCTTATAAATACCTTAACAAAATAATAATACGTTTAAATTGTTAATTCTTTTTTTGATGGTAATTTAAATAAGGTTTTAAAAAAAGGTATACTGTATAGCTATTTTTCGGGACTTTTAATCCCAAGCTTTTGTGAAACACATAACATTTATGTAGTACAAGACGTATATGAATTCCTACTAGAAAAAAAGATCAGAAGTAATTATACGGTCGTATGAATATTATAATTGTTGGAGCGACGTGCCTGGACATTTATCGTTAGGTATCCCCAAAAATAATAGTATTATACAATTATGCATTTAAAAAAAATAGTTAAAAATCTCTGGTGGTTATTTTACAGTATAAAATGTACGATGATAAATTCAACCCAACATTACTATTGTACTGTATAATAAGTATGTGCATAAATATTATGATCTTAGTTCTAAATAGTTTTTTCAAGGTTGATTAAAAGTATATCAGTACACCATATTCATTATTTTTCTCTTTAATCCACGTGCACAGTATAAATAAAACGCAAATTCATAAAAATTTCATTCAATTTGAATAATCTTAAAATAAAATCACCTATTACAAAACATATATTCTCTCTTTCAAAAAAAAAAAAAAAAATGCAATATCTATTTAAATTAAAATATATATTATTTTATTTTTAAATCAAATAATAAAATATAAAACCAATAACTCTAATTTTTAAAAATATTATCACTTAGAATTTTTCAATTTTAATTTTCTATGAAGATTATTCTAAAACCATAAAATATGATTTTTTATGAACGCGATTTATCTATGTAACAACGTTTATGGTGAATTAGATATATAAATATCCACTGATATATTAATAAGACTGTACCATTAACAGATAAAATTGACTTTTCTTTGCTTAACATTAGTATGTAGAACAATATACTATACCAACGATATATCCAAAATTTAAATCATACACTTTTCACTTATAATATATTTTAACATCACAATATTCGATAATCGATTTTATCCTATCGCAATGCATTGAATTTCTTTAATAAAGTTCTTATATTTTTTCATTTTAACATCGAGTGTGATATTAGATTAAATTTTAAATTTTAAATAATTGTCAACAATTTTCACAGAAACAATATTTTTATTTTTATTTAGGGGTAACTCAGTTCACAGGGCCCTAATAATTTATATAGACATTCGCCCTGTAATATTCGTGTCCTTTTCGTTGAAACTCACTTAACTAAAACATTACAATGATCCGTTTCGAAATAATAAATGATCACCGCTGTCAGCACCAGTGATTTTTGAAAATTTTCGTGTAATAATAATGATGACAATATATTAACGAAAATGACGTGTATGTAAACCATATATATTGAACATGTGTGATAAATATTGCTATAGGTAAAAGTTTTGGCTACGGTTCAATGTTCATTGCGATTATTGTGATTATCTATATTTATTTTGTATTATCTATTGACTCATGTGATGAACTTTCATATTATAATGTGCGAAAATCAATTTAAATTAGTTTTAAAAGTAATATTAGGACTTATAGCGTAGTTACAATATGTTTTGAAGAGTGTTTAATTTTGAAATCCCAAAAATTTGCAAATTATGTTGTAAATAGAAATTCATTAAATCTTTATTTTTTTTTTTTTTATCTAATTTTGAAAATTTAATACAGGATTCTTTAAACATTATCCCACCTAGAACAAAAAAAAAAAAGTTTACCTAAAAGTAATTTAAATTTTTTATGGCCTTTGAAGTTTTTACAACATAATTAGATATTCATCTGCATAATAACTATGTTTTTCTCATAACTTTATAAAATATTAAAATACATACATATTATAATATTTTAAAAAATAAATATTATTTTATAAATATCTATAATGGACATACACGACAGTGCTGTACTCGATTTGCCTATTCAGGAAGCCGTGTGATTATGATCATTTCGATAAAAAGCGGTAGATAAACATTATTATTATTAAATCATTATCTTATATACGAAACTATGACATGTCAGGAAAGTAATAAAAATTGATATAATGCAAAAAAAAAGAAAAAAAGTTATGTTAAATCGTGCACCCAGAGAATATAATATACACTTAGTTATCGGTTGTCATGTTTTATTAAATAAGTGTAAGAAAATTCTTTGGTCACATTTTATGTCAAAAAGAGATGCATTGTCATATAACTAAAATATAGAGTATGCAATCAAAATTTATTGAATACAAATAAATAATCCACTCCCATTGCACAATAATTTGATTATTGGTCGATCGTCTTTGTCGTGTTTTTTGATGGGTAAAAATGACAATCGGCATCTATGTAATGAATACTAATCAATAATTAATATAGAATTGTTTATTCGACGGTGATCTACTTTTAATAGTAAGTAATATTTGATTAAATGGTTGTATTTTGTTTGTATTTCCGCAGTCACAGGGATTTAAAACCGGAAAACTTGTTACTGGATGAAAAGACCAACATCAAGATCGCCGACTTCGGTATGGCATCCTTGCAGCCCAACGGCAGCATGCTTGAGACTAGTTGTGGTTCTCCACACTACGCGTGTCCTGAAGTTATCCGAGTAATTTTTCTCTTTAATATACATTATACATACAAATTTAATCCTGTACAACATGAATTATAATTGCACGCTACACAGTGGTGAAGTAGGCTAATTCAAATTATTTTCAGGGCTTTATAATATACAAGTATACTCCAGATAGAATATAGAAAAACTTGAGAATTTTTAATGAACTATCAATATAACGTTTTTCTCTTTGTTCCAAGAAATATTTCAGTGGCATATTTGAAGTTTTTGTTAGGTGAATCAATTAGGGGATTCCTTGAGAAAGGACTGAGAAAGAAAAGAGTTTCTTTGAATTTAAGTCTTGGTTTTTTTAACATATTTCAATTGCAACTTTATTAATATAATAAAACAGTAAAATTAATATAAACAAAATAAAAAAAAAATAAATGTTTTATTTTACCATCCTTTTATAATACATTTCAGTTACGCCATTGGAGTGTTTTACCTTTGATGATTATTATAATAACATAATTATTAGAATATTTACTAAAGAATTTTCAGTGGTAACATTCTTTATAATCCAAAATATATTTAAACCGTAATAGTTAAAATTATTCAGCTGTTTGTTCCCTTACGTATAATATTATCATATACTTAAAACTTGGTGATTTTTTTTTTATTATAAAAAAAGTACTTTGTAACCTGACATCCACACCATAGTTTCTATGGAACTTTAAGGCTATCATATAAATAAAAATACAGCGATTTTTCATTTAGATGAATTTTTGAAAATCACAATTCATTTGAACAATTTAGCATAATTCATTTGAGCGATTTTATAATAATGTGTTGTAATATTCAATCAATGCATATTTTTTGCTATTTTACATTTTCGAGACTATCCATGAATTTCATTGGTGTGATTAAAAATGTATTGTTATTTTTATTATTAAAAATCACAAATTAAGTTTGAAAAGCATTTTTGTAAAAAATGTTTTTATATAAATTAAACACATTTTTATCTGAAGATTATTTTAAATATACTCGTAATATTATAAAAATATTTCATTACAACTATACTCGGGACTTAAACGGGATTTTTTACCTACATAACTTTCAGGGTGAGAAATATGATGGTCGGAAAGCAGACGTTTGGTCGTGTGGTGTAATATTGTACGCATTGCTGGTCGGCGCGCTACCCTTCGACGATGACAACTTGCGCCAACTGTTAGAGAAGGTGAAAAAAGGCGTTTTTCATATACCACATTTTGTACCACCGGATTGTCAAAACTTGCTTCGTGGAATGATCGAAGTCAACCCGGAAAAACGGTTAACCGTAAGTGTTTCGAATGTTTAAAATATTTAGTGTGACTAATAAAAAATTATGTTTAGTGATTAGACAAATAGGTTAACAGAGTATTTTTATTTGGAGAGGAGATAGAGGTCAAATAAAAATAAAGATTTTTCACCTATTGTGTGCTTGTAATATTGTAAAGTTAGTAAAAATATAATATCAAGTATTATTTATATTATAATGTGCAATATTTCAAGTTTACGAATTATAATATACTTATTATGAATATAAATTATTAGTAATAACGAGACACATACAAAAAATAATTTTCAAGCTGTAGCATAATGCTATTAAATGATTATTTGATATTTAGTATTAACTATTATTTGTAAATAACTAAGAAGTGTTGCAAGGAATACAATCCTTTATAATCGTGATTATAAAATATAAACACATTATCATCATAATATTGAGAATGCTAAGAGTATAATAAATTTTAATATAATAAAAATAATTTATTGTTCATATCATTACTCAAATTTTCGTTTGAAAAAATTTTGTCGTTCAGTATTAAGTGTTACTCTTTTATAGTATTTTTCCACCTCATATTATCATATTTTTTCGGCCCCTCTCAATGTCATACATGTATATTATTTTGTAGAAGTGGTCATGAGGTCAAAAAGATAAGCTATTTTTTATTTCATTCATAGTAGAAGACTTTAATGGTCAATACTACTGTACGCTACAGCCTATAACCGTATAATAGTTGTGTAATGAAATTTATAATTTTTTAATTTTTTAGTTAGTTATATTTATAATTTTTTTTTTTCATTGTTTTGGTTTTTAAATGTTATTGATATTTAATTATATATTTATTATATTGTACAAATAAGGATAGATGAAGTCCATAAATCTTTGACTAAACAAAATTATTGAGTATGTTAACCTTTATGGCAAATGCCCTATTTTATATACATTTTTTTAATTCATATAAATTATAATAATTGATTATATTTTTAATAACTCACATAATTGGTATTTTGTTAGCTATATAATTGAGCATAACTTTTAATACTATATAATATGTATTTAGTGAAGATCCTTCAAAATTATGTGTATATATATATATATATTCTTATTGAAATGTTATTATTTTAAATGGTATAAATAAATGGCCGTATAAGAATAATATTAAAATAAAAAGTATATACTTAATATATTTATTTTTGTTTTTTTATCTTTTAAATATTATAGCAATGAAGTTATGCCCCACTACTATTTTACGCAGTTATTACTTTGTTTGACATTGTTATAAAAAATGTGGTAGATGTAATTTGTGAACATCAATTTTAAATATTTTAAATCTCATTAAATGTATTAGGCAAACATATTTATTTATTTCATTGGAAAATTTCATTTTATAAGTTTGTTCTAACACAATAAATGTAAAACATATTTCCGCGTACTTATTTTAAAATAAGGATGCTAAGTACCTACCACATTATAATTGGTCCTATATTAACCTACATAGGTAATTATTATATTTTTTTAATACTAATATCACCATCCGGTGGTTTTCACGTTGTAATACTATGTAATAAATAATTTTTAGTTTTACAAACATTTTACCATTTGTGATAATATTATATTATACTCACTACCTAATTTATTATAAAAAACATTTTTTTTTTTTTACAAATTTGCATAATATATTTTGTACAAACCAATTTATCTATATGTTTTAGTTGAAAGACATAAACAAACACTCATGGGTTATTGCCGGAGGTAAAGGAGAAGTGCACTTAGGTATGTCAATGATAGATGTCATACAAACCCATATAATTCCGTCCGCAAACGACTTAGACACCGACGTTCTTCAAGCCATATCAAGTTTAGGCTGTTTCAAAGACCGGGAAAAACTCATCGCTGCTTTGTTGAGTGTTGAGTAAGTGGCACTATTGAATTAAACGCGCATTTAGAAACCCTGAACCAATAAAAAAAAAACAAAATTATCTCGTTTACACGCATACCACTAAATCTCGCGACGTTTATTAGAATTTCCATAGTATTTACCTATATATATATATTAAAGTATTATAATATCGATATCATGTACAAATATTATTATATGTACATTGAACAAACTCAGTGCATAAAAGCGACTAACTTAATATTTATGTTTATACGACACGCCGCATACTATATAAATTTTATTTGAATGAAAACGTAATTGAGTACGAGTGATTAATTGTAAATTAACTGTTTATTTTGTCACACTTCAATATCAGCCATTAAATTGATTAAACAATGATAATTCAAAATTAATAAATAATATCAAAGTATGAATAATAATACCTATTTACATTTTCGAATAGAATTTCATTGACTACGGTCAATGTGAAGTGTATATTAAAATGTATTATCCGATACGGGTATTGAGTATTGACGGTATTATAATGACAATTAAAAACAAACAAACACATTATAATAATATGCATTGTTATACCAACTCAATATTTTTATTAGCGATTTATTTACATATGTGTGTGATACATTAACTAAAAAATGTGTTTTAGATAAAAATTGAGAATTTTAATTTTGATTTTATTATTTTTGAATCTTTTATATAGTCATAACACTGAAAAAGTGATTTATTTTCTATTACTCGAGCGCAAAAAACGACGACCAGCTAACGAGGACGACACAGTTGCAGTGAAAAACATCAAAAACAGCTTCGATCCGCCAAAAAAGCGAGTTGATACGTGTAAAATGATCGACGACATCGATAGTAATTTTTCTCAAATCAGTGCTGGATCTCCTGCTACGCCACGAAAACAAATGCTACAGTAAGTAAAAAATAAATATTTTTATTAAGATTGAAATACTATTAAATTGTTCAGATACTTGTTAACTTGTATGTAAGACATTATAAATTTATAACTGGTATTACTGATTTCCAGATTTTTTTAAAAAAGCTTAAAAAATAACTTTTAAAACTTTAAATTGTACATTTAAATATTATTAAAATTGTTAATGATTCTCCCTAAAAACTTTTTTCAGTCTCGCTTTTATCATTAACATCGAACGTCAAATGAATCTTTACATTTAGTGTATGTGTATATATATTCAGTAATTAGCTAGGAAACAAATGACTGCAGTAGTCTGATTACGGTTATTAAGTTACCGGTTCTTGCATATTAGCGTACCGTGAACATCTCATATTATTATTAGTGTTATCATAAAACAAAAAGCAGCTCGTACTGTACACGATAATTAAACAAAATTAAAAGAAAATACTTTAAACGCTGCTCATTAACTTATTTTAATTTTAAAATTTCAAAAAAGTTTTAAATTTTAATACGATTAGAAATTGAAATACTTCATTCAAAATAATGTATAAACTTACAAACAGAACATTTTTAAGAATCTTAAAAGATATTATCAGCATCAAAATAATATGTTCACTACACATTCCATTTAAACAAAATATAAATTAAAAAATTAGTTGTGGAATAATAATATGTCCACCCTTTAGATTTATAATATTATCTATTGATTTTCCATCGATACAGAAAAAGAACTGTGCTACTTATTACAAAATAAAAATATTAAAAATTCTTGTTTTCAGAACTTTATTCGATGTTATTTTTAATGTTTCATATCATAAATTAATATGTTGATTTAAACAATAACATACACACACATTATACATATACATTATACACATATGTATGTACCTATGCGAAGTATCTAAAATTTAAAAAACTAAACACATAGATTTATCTATCTATAATAGGAGAAAAAACAAAAATGATAGTAGAATTAAAGATTTATGGAAACATGTATAAGACACTAAATTACAAAAGATGAACATAAAAATGTTTATACAAAATGTGTTTAGTATTATTATTAAGTATATCTGTATTTACCTGAATGTACACATGTAAAGTTAAAAATTTAAAAGAAACTGAGAAACTGTAACTAATGGCCTTTGCAACCGATGTATTTTAAGATCAATAAAAAAAAAAAAAAAAAAAATGTATTTAAATAGTTTTCCTGCATAAAATAAGTTAGGTAATAGAATATAAAAAATATTATGGTAATAATAATATTACCAACACCTCACAATAAAACTTTAAAATTTAAAAATTATTATCATTATTTTGAGGTACTACCTCTAATTTTTGAGAAAAAAAATTAAAGTGCTATAAAATATTAGGAACAGAATGATATGAAAAATGTTTAAAATTTCAAACACAATTATACGAAGAAAATCTTTATGGAAATAAAAGAATATTTTATGATCTTAATTAGAGATTATAAAGGAGCTGCACATTTTATATGTAATATTACTTATAAAAATTCTAATTTTATGCAAATTACTTGTCATAATATTTCAGGTTTCAATGCTCATTTATTTATAAAAAAATTTGAGAATATTAAAAATGAAATAAAATTATAAACCGTTATTTACCCGGTGAAGATAATATGATTATATTAAAAATAAAATTAAGATTTATTGATTTTTTTAAAATTTTTATCAAATTCTTTAGATAAATTATTAAATAACTTCAAAAAAGATTAGTTTAAAAAAGTCTAAATATTCAAAATTTAAATTTAGTAATTAGAAAATTAGTTTTTTCTTATGAGTATATGGATTGTTATGAAAAATTTAATGAAACACGTTCATCTCCTAAAAAAGTTTTTATAGTTTTCTTACTGATAAAAATATAACAAAATAGCAATATGAAAATTCACAAAACGTCTGGAAAGTATTTAATTTACAAAATTTAAGCGAATTCACAACTTTATATAATAAGATTGATATTTTATTATTAACAGATATAAAAGAACATTTTAGAGATGTTTCTTTAAAAAACTTATAAATTAGATCATCTATGGTACTATGCTATACTAGAATTATTTGTGTAGGAAAGTATGTTAAGAATGACAAATGTGAAATTAGATTTATTAACAGATGTTTATCAGATTTTGATATTTGTATCAGAACTAATTCAAGATTAATTTATCACAATGTAGTCAAATGTATTTTAAAGCAAACAACAAAAATATGACAAATAAATTTAATGAAAACGAGGAATCAATATTTTCCAAGTACTTAGACGCAAATAATCCTTATGGTTGAGTAATAACTAAACATTTACCCTATAGAAATTTTAAATGGGTTGATAATTTGAATAAATTTAATATTATGATGAATATTTCTGATAAATAACCTAAAGGCATATATGTATTTTAAAAGTTGATTTATCTTATCCTAAAGAACTTTATAATCTACATTCAAATTTTCTTTTAGCATCATAAAAAAAATTTGATAATGAATAATATTCTAAATTATTAACAATTTTATACAACAATAAAATAATATATAATTCACTATGAAACTCTAAAATTATTTATTAAATTAAGTTAAAAATTTAAGAGAAATATATATTATTATAAATTATAATGCCAACTGCAGATCAATTTAAGAATATGATTTTAGTTGTTATAATACATTATGAGAAGAGTAAAAAATACTTACTCCTTTCCTTTTTAATGAAGCCGAGCATACCACTGACCTCCCTTAATCAATTTAAATACAGCATATAATTAGAAATACTGATAATCGTAAGATAATCAGGACTGTTTTAACATGTAGAGATATCCAAAGTCATAAATGTTTTTCAATAGATCTTTAAGATTTGGGTTAATGAATGAAAAAGTTTATACAATAATAGGATCGCATTCTGTGACATCTTAAACTAAATGTGTACACAATTATGTGTGACTTGAAACATAATACATGTACTTTTATACTATTGATACTTACTTCTTGGTTTTATTCTAAAGTTTTTTTGAGCTATAGTATTGTAACAAAAACTTATTGTACAATGTAATGTTTTGATTGTTTTTGTATTGAGTTGTCTGCCATTTTTCCGGTAACCAAAGGCGTCTAGGGATTGGTGTTGAATGGCGCCGTTATGTACAGAGTCCGCATAAAAATGACTAAAGCCCCCTCGGAAATATCAATCCATTAGTCATTACTGTGCATGTAAATGTTTACTTCTTATTATTACTATTATCATTTCGTTTGTTTGTTTGTTATTGTTATTGGTATAAAATATACGTTAGGTATTATACAATATTTTTATTACCAAAACAGATCATTGTAGTGTAGTGAAGACAATAAGACAGATAGCACTTATAAATGACTGAAATGATTGCAGTAGTATACATTTATTTATTTATTTTTTTTTTTATTTAACGTTTTGAGTAAACTGAATAATAAAATATCAATTTTTCAACGATAGCATTTTCGTCTCTATTTTTAATCTTAAAATTTAAAAACATAGTACCTATGGTATATCTTCCTCGTATTTCATATTTTCACATTGCCAGCTATGGTCTAGAATAAAATATTATTGAATACTTTGAACATGTGACGTAATTGCGTATTTGCCAAAATGATATAAATTAGCTTAATGTTGTACATACAATTTTGAATATTTGTTCTTATTTATAAAAAACTCAATAGTAAAAATGTATTCGAAAATTATATTTACATGATTGTTATTGACACTAATCGGTATGTAGTGTATACTACCCAAATTAATTTTTCACGTTCAGAAAATACTACAATTATATAATTTTGTAATTTATTTTGTTGTATATTTTTACCAAACCGTATTTGTTTATATTTTTCACCTTTCAATAAAAGCAAATAATGATTTTTATTTTTAAAAATTCTATGTCAAAAATATAATTTTAAAATGTGTTAAACAGCTATGCCTATGCGGCGTTATTAGCCGAACGCAATACAACTAACTACCTATATACCACATCAAAATATCTTATATACACAAATAACTTGCTTTTTTCAACAGTTTGCCTAAATTCAAAATTATAATTTCGATTTATATATTTATTTATGAACTATAATGCGTATTTTTTTATTAAAACGACAGTGAAACTGGAATTTCAATACAATTTTTAGGTTTTTGGTGTATTTATTTAAAATATGGCTTGTAATAGTTATTTGTAAGTTTACATGTTTGTGCAAAATAGGCATTTGTCGTGGTAAAAAGATTTTACAATATGACGTGGCCATTTCATCGTAAAAAAACAAAAGTTATTTTCATAGTATTTTAAATATTAAAAAAAAAAAACAACACTGTATTAAATCTCTGTCGCCACTATCGTCTTGGTAAAATGATAAACAAAAACAAAAAACTCAAAAATAAAATTTTAAGGGCTCTAAATCATCTGTGACATTTATCTACATGACGACAACACCATTTTTCTTAGGCTTGACTATACTTAACGTAATTAACTTTTATTTTAAATTTAATTTTGTATGTACTTTTATGATCTGTTTTCAATTGTATCTATAACTAAAAGCATCGAGTAAAATGTGTAAAACTTTGTAACTTTAATTTTTTCTCTATCCTAGAAATCGTATCTACTATAGGAGAGGAAGTTACAACAACGTAAGTTCTGCAGGCGGCAACATGTGCAGCGGTTCAAGTTTAGCCAGTTCCTCGACGTTAGCTGGTATATTATCACCTCTTCCTCAAAGGTAATATTTGGTAAAAAGGAAAAACTATTTAATTTTCGGTACTAATGGATCCGTTTACGACTGTTAGGTCAAATAATTCAAACTATCGTTACCACAATCACCACAAGAGTCAGCAGTCGAAAAACCCATCGATATCCTTGCATGGCAATTACATTTCTGCGCACAACCAAACATTGGACACAAACAGCTCATGTTCGGCACCTGTGCCCCCGTCGCCCGTGCACCACGCGAAACAGGCAAAAGTTGAAGTACCTTCGTCCCCGAACCACAGTAAATTCAAACACTGATATAAATATAATACAAAATAATATTATGATACAATATCAAATGAATTTACATTTATAACATAATACGAATAACACGTATGTGATATTATTGTTTCAGTGGTCATTTGCACACCTCCGGGATCACCTCAACACCTGTCCAACCATTGGAAATCGAGGCTTACATCGATCCGAAACAGCGTACTGGGATCGCCAAAATTCCACAGACGTAAACCTCAAAGTAATTATGCGTTTTTTCGTGATACACATACGCTTGCTAAAATATAATTTATTTACAATGATCGCGGTACATACAATTTTTTAATTTAACTAAATAATTACATGAGTATTGTTCATTTTCTAATAAAATCAATTACCTAAGTAACTTAAATGATCATTGCATAACATAATGATAATAATAACATAATAAAATAATAATTATATAATAACATCGCGTTTTCTAGTTGATTTAAAAAATATAATAAGTCAAGTTAAATTTATGTTATATAGATATTAGCATATATAACTATGAAATAAATTTATTTTTTGTTTTATCGTTCTTTGTACAAAAACTACTCGTACCTACAGTTATTTCAAATACCAACAAATATTAATTCTTGATTCAATAAGAATTTAGTAGACGCAGAAACATATCATTATGATTGCTTAACTATTGGAATGATCAATTAGGTAAAAAACAGTGACTCATTTTTTTTTTATTTTTATAATAAATAACATTTATACAATTTAAAAGTTTATGACTGTCTATAAGGCCAAAATATGTTTAATAAAATTGCGTATTTATTTTCTTCTATATGTTTTGCGCAAACAGTTGACATGGACACACCATATAAACCAACACCGGAATCTTCTCCGGAACTAACAAAAAAATCGTGGTTTGGAAGTTTGATGGCGTCTGAGAAAGACGAGACGTTCACTATTTTAATAACAGGAAAGCCGCTATCCACCGTAAAGGCTGACTTAATCCACGCTCTGCTTTCGGTAAGTAGTATGAGAATAAGTTTTGATCGCTTACATGACCGATACAATTGAAAGTGGAATAGAAAAATATTTATAACAATGAATGAATTTATTGATCATAGACAGTGGCATAACTTGAACTGATTTTATTTTTTTTTAAGGGAGGGGGAACAAATATAATATTTTTTTAGTCTATCGTGTTTAAAATGATAGTAGGAGAAAAAAATGTGACACATTTCTGGTCATCATATAATACACCAATCATTAATATATACGTGTTACATGTAAACGTACGTTCTTGTCTCTTGATGTAGTGTGAAATTATAAAATTAGTAAGAATATAATATTTTCAAGTTAATACTTTTTTTATATTTATATCATAAATTATAATAAATGATCATAAAACTTTAAGTGTACCAAGTATTATGATACAATTATATAAATATTTTAATAAAAAGATATAGTAATTATATAAACGCACACAAAAAATAATATTTAAGTTTAAAAATAATTCTTTATAAAAAAAAATTGTACTGTGATATTCAAGACAGAAAACTAAAACAATATCTTTATTCCACTTTAATAAAGGTTATCAAATGATTTTACGCGGTACTTTTTTAGGCTTACGTTTGTACTAGCTACCTATATTATTTTTATTTTCAATATGCAACGTTATGAAATATAAAACGCGGTAATATCTATGCAATTTATGGAGATCCGTACGTTATTATTAATAGCAGATTATTTATTAGTTATTACTAATTATTTCTAGTACCATATACACTCTTATAACTTCTTCTAAGAAATAATTGGTTATAATTTAGATCATACTTTTATATTGGATCTCTTTATTGTACTTTCCATGTAGCTACTTATACAAATAGATTATCATTGTGTATAATGTACGCAATATAATTGCTGTATTCGTGTTTGAATGTGTTAGTAAGTGTTCGTAGCTTTTTGTAAAGTTAACGTTTTATATTTATTTTCTAAAATAGAGAATGCAATTCACCACATAAATTGGGAAATATATTTGGTAATTGTGAATGAGCACGCATTTCAATATATCAAATAGTGGGCTGATGGATATGTCAGATTGAGGTGTTGTAAAAAACATGTACAGCTATTACATTAAGGAAAACTTACAATTCCGTTTTATAAAATACTATTACCACGTATAAACGCGCTGTATATATATATACAAATAATAATAATAATTGCCTTTATTGATGTAGGTTGTAGTTGTGAATCTTTATGTTAAATTCTCTTGGTATTGAGGCTTCAAATTTAATTAAATTTTTTAATATTATTAACTTTTTATTTTATCTTATTCACATTTATATAATTTGATTTTTTCTTGTGTTACCTTGATTTGATTATAATAAACAAAAAATAAGAGAAAAAATATTTGAAATGCATAACATCAAAAATTTAAAAATAATTGTAAAATTTACTATTTACTGTTTAAAATATAGGTACTTATAAAATTTTTAAAAAAATTTGCTACATCGTACGCGTACGCCTCTAAAAAATCAAAAGCATATTTTTTTGTTATTTCGACACCACGCGTTTCATACTCCACTGTCACAGAAAAGATAGTATGTTAGGGAGTAACTATTTTATTATTAAACTGTCTTATAGTTTGGTTACATTAATACAGTATGAGCCCACTTATATAATATGTGTACCCAAATAAGAAATTTGTTTAAACTATTTTCATAACCGTATTTGTTTAGTATATTATTGGCATTAATATAGTTGTCCTGAGGGCAACGAAAAACAAACGAACTTAAACAGATTCTCTGTCGACTGAAATTATTATACAGCTATGTCTTTACAAGGAATGGGCGTAAAGCTGTATAAGCTTTTGATTGTATTTGTAGCAGTTCTATTCGTCATACAGTGATCCTTTCATCTTAAATATTTGCGCTAAGGAAATAAACTAATAGACTCGCAAAATCCAATATATATCTATATATATTTACAATGTATTCATTAGAATTTTCTACTTCAAATAAAAAATATAACGTCAGAGGATATACTCATCAGCTGATATTTGTACATATACATATACATTTTTTCTAATCTAATATAGGTTACTTTAAACTTTGTAGCCTACACAGTACCAAATTTTGCTTAAAAGTTTCTTTGACTTAGTATATTTATTGTTTGAAATTGGATACCAATAACTAGAATTTTATAACGCTTAGATTTATACAATAGGATCATTAAAATAACGATTTCCTTTTTATAAAGAAAAATTATTTAGTGGATAATTTTCCTAAAAATTTTAATGTATTAAAATCAAAATCAAACAAGTACTCATAATTGTTGAGTTTTTTTTTTTTAATTTGTGTAGTGAGCATAATAGATCCAAGATAATGAATTTGGAAGATATAGAAATGTTTAGTACATGGTAAATTAAAAACTTAAGTAATTAATATTTATCTATCAAAATTAATAATTCATAAAAATAGTTAACGTATGATAAATAATAGATTTAATATAACATCTACTTTATATTTTTGTAACACTTTAAACTATTTTTAACGACTATTATTCTTAATATAAATATTTTAATAACTCAAAAACTACTTGTTAGAATTTTTAATTAAATGTATCAAATTAAAAAAATATATATTATATTATCTACTAAATAGTTTAGAATAAAATAGGGGGAGAATTTTCATCTGAAAAACATAAGTATGCATTGCCACTGAACATTCTGTTGAGTAGAACAAAACATTTCAATAATTTGAATACAAGGTTTTTAATGAGTATATTTAAAAATTCCGAAAATCAGAATTTGAATAAATTCATTTTTAATTAAAAAATTGGGGAAGAGAATTTTTGAAAATTCCTGTACTTGTAGAATAAGAAAGTATGCGTAATATTTAAGTTTAAAATAAGGCGAACGAAAATCAAGTAAACAAACGACAAAAACTGTTGTAATAATAATATGTTGATTGTTGGCATAAAGCAAATATAATTATACTTTAGTCGCGATTTAAGTTTCACCCTAAGGATATTTCTTGTATTAAAAACATACGATGTAAATGAAAAAATAAATAATAATAATAATAATAATAACAATAATAAAAAAAAATAATCTTTTACTAGATATTTGGAACGTCTATCGAGTGGCTTAGAATGAGACAAAAATAATAATGTTATGTCTGTTGGTCGTATACTCGTATAACGTATTATCTATACGCGATGAGAACGTCACGTTCTCGTATGATTCGTTGACATCGTTGTAACGTATACAAGCTATCGTCGTTGCGATAAAGACAAGCGATACGTTTGTGGTAAACAAAAGTGACATCGCGCAAAACAAATACATCCCATTATGTGTTTGCTGAGTGAACTCGTTATTTGGTCCCTAGTATTTATATGTTATGAGAATTATGACACTTTTGTTACTTCCATCTTAAGCCCGGTATTACACTGGTTCGTCATCAATCGGTTGGCAAATATTTTTGTTTGATGTTTACTGACATTTTTGTTAATTAGAATTGTTTTTCGATCGACGAATCTCAAACCAGCATGTACTACCAATGCTTTCCAAATGCGCAAACCATGTATACCAGTTCACGTTTATTTTTTATTTATACTCGCAGAGTAAAAGTACAGAGTTTAGAATTTCAAATAATTATATAACATTTTAATCAGACACTTAATGCAAAACAAATATTTTTTTTATAAAAAATCACTTGACAAAATTATAAACAAGAAAGTTCATTTCCTGTTATAAAATTTGTTTACATCTATATTAAGCTTTTAAAACAGTACACTTTATAATTTTACTTCAATATGCGATAAATAATATAAAATATACGAGAATACCCATATTACAATTATTAGTTATGCAGAAATATGCAAAAAAAAAGTGATTTCGTTGTAGTTTGAAACTATTACGGTTCGTAAAAAATACTGACATAAAACCAAAAATATAAAAAGGAAAAAAAAATAATGCATAATCTAACCGTATGTACTTTCTTGCTCACATTGGGCAGTGTTATTATTATATTTATTCGACAGCAATGATCGAAGAGCAAAATATTTACTATTGTTGCTTTTTTCTTATTATTTGTTTGCTGTTTAGCAATGCACCATATGTTATGAAAAAAAAAAAAATCGTATTTCTAGAAAAACGAGTTACAGAAAACATTTACACCATATGGTGCACCGTTCGACAACATAGACCGACCTTGCCTGTATAGGGTAGTCTATAGAAGTGACTGGTCAAATATAAAAGCATTGTTATGGCTTTTAATAATATAATTTTTATATTATATATACAGTGATTTATTGCTAAAAATATTCATGGGATATGCCTTTTTCACGCAGGTAGGTAACAATGGTAAAAACTTAATCATTCAACTAAAAAAAATGTTCTAAGCTTCTCTTAACTTAAAATAATAATATTATTCTTTTACAACTTTCATATTATACCCATAAAATAGAAGATAACTATTAGATAAGTTCTTGATAATTTTTATGATAGTTTTTTATGGCTATCTATGCATTTGTATATTAATTTAATTTATAGTAGTACTTTTTCAAACATAAACTATAAAAACCTGATGAAAAACGCTAAAGAAAAAGACACATTTAAATTTTAAAAATTAAAATTTAGAAAAATGACATACAATTTAATATACCTGGATAAAAAAAAAACCTTAATTCTAAAAATCTCTTAATATTTACTAATATCACATAATGCGTTGCAATAACATTTAAGTACAGTTACGAATCACATACAATAAGTGTAGTGCATACTATCTACGGGTAAAAATGTAAAGTTTTGTTTTGGTAAAAACCAAAAGTGGCTTTTTACATTTTATAGCTCATAGAAATAATATATATTACGCTAATTGGATGTTATTTTTGTAATGGTATAAAACAGACGACCTATTCTAATATAGCAGCCATCACGGGTGCAATAAAACTACAATAATATAATATAATATATCTAATACTATTTTATATCATATTATTTTTTATAGTTTATTTACGAC